CCCCAGCCACAAGCTGATGGCTGCCAGTACAGCGGTGGTGGTAGGAGCCTCTCCCACCTCCTCAGCAGCACTGAGGATGTCAGACTGGAGCTTAGGCCTGCTCTCCACTGGTAAGTGGACATCCCCTGAGGGCTGCCGGACTGCCAGGGAAGGATATCTTTGCCATCTTAGGCCCAATCCCCCTGGGGAGCGGGCCTAAGCCAGCAGGTGGTCATCCCCTGAGGGTCACAGACTGCGAGAGGGCACAGGCCGGGCTGAGGGACCCTCCTCCTCCCCACCAAGTGCACAAATTTTTGTGCACTGGGCCTCTAGTAATAATATAACATAAGGCAAAACAAAGTAAGTATTCTTAAAGTACAAACTGTGTACTAGAAGGAAAAATTAGTTCTAATGGAGTTGTAGGGCACTCTGACAGCAGACATTCCAGCTAGATCTTCAACATGGTCTAGAAAGAAAGAGTATGAAAATGCACTGCACAATATGAAGCTGGAAAGCTCAGCCAGGGCAAGATTATAGGAACTCTGAGCCTCATGCCTCCTTTTCCAGACAGTCAGCTGCCAATCTTCACCAAGTTGCCTTATTCCATGATTACAATTTCCCTCAAAATCAATCCTTCTTTCCATACCCACTATTGCTCTCAGAACAATGAGCTTTTGAAACTTTGAGTTCTAGTTCCAAATAAGCCACTGATTTTCTATGTAATTTAAAATGAACCCTACCACCACATTTTACCCTAATCTCCTGTTGCTATTTCTCTATAACATAACTGACTTTGGGCTGGTTATAATAATTAAGTCTATAAATCAGGAGCTCTCAATCCTGAACACCAGGATTACCTGTGAAATACTTACTTAAATCATATATGGGGCAGCAATGGGGGAGGGCAATGTACTGATGAGGAGGATTGAAAATCCCTGCTATAAATATTTGGAGGGCTCAAAGTGAAATGCTTACTGTGATGGTCTGATGTTCAATTCTCAATTTTTCCACTCCAACACCATAAAGTTCACGTAGAATACACATAATTCTTGTCTTTTTACCAGCACCTGATGGACCATACACTAACAAATGAGGAAAGTCACCACACTGTACCTGGGGAAAAAAAAAAATCAAACAATGACGTATTTTCCTAATCATACAATTGTTCTGGGTAGAATTAAACTCTTTTTAAGTATCAATATTTTGTATCTCTACCTATGAAACTTCAAATATATATATGTGTGTGTGCGTGTGTGTGTGTGTGTGTGTGTATGAGTATACATATATTTTTTTACATTTATGGAATGTTGATTATTCCCTGGCATTAATTTTATGTAATTCATACCTAGCATACATGCTTGATACAATACCATATGCTAGAAAGTAAGAACTCCCAAATCTGGCTGACTGTCAGAATCTCCTAGAGAACTTTTTAAATTAAAAGACTGGTTAGTTATTAGATCCATTCCATCAAATTATGATTTAGTAACTGAAATTAATGTCTGTCTTAGTTTGGGTTTTTACACAGTCCCTTTGATAAGAACTGAGTGCATTTGGCCTATTTGGGAAGTAAAGAAAAATTTTGTGT